CAATGAGAGCTCATATGTCTGAAACATTTTTTTTTCATTCTCACAGTTAATGGCTGGAGGGCTAGATTGTTGTTGCAGACATCGAGGGGTCATTTCCCCCTTCCACCTAACTTTGTGTCAAGCTGGTTGCTTTGTTGTCTCTTTCTCAGGTAGGGTTTGTACAGGGTGTAGAGTCCTTGCGTTGCCAGCCTGATGTAAGCATGTTCATGGAGGCTTCCCATCCTTGGTAAGCTTTAGACTTCAGCTCCTTTCTGCCTTGTCCCATAAGGCCATTAAAATGGCAGCTCACATCATCTGGGCTTGGCAGATGCTCTCAAGACAGAAGCCAGCATCACTACTCATTTGTGCCTCTGAATCACCTCTCTCACTTTGTTTTTGAGTTACCTACCATTCCACCAGATAGGACACATTTAAAAATGTAGTTCCTATATTTCATCCAGCAATTGTAGTTGTTTGAAGGATAGCTTAGGGTATGTCTTCCATCTGGAAATGCTAGTCGTACTCCCCATAAAGGACAATCATATTTTCAGAATATGGACATAATTGCATTTAGAGAATATACCTAATGAACAAGTGAATTATTGATTTCACCAAATTTACATTAAAATACTAGTGAGTACCAGCCACTATATGTTTTGTTATAAAAATTCCAATTATAATGGTTGATTTTAATTTAAATTTTGGTGTCTTTTGGAAACGGTGTTGCTTAGACTTGCTTTGTCTAGCTGGTATACATGTAGAATGAAGTGCTCCACATAAGTATATCTTCCTAAAAAAAAAAAAAAAATATATATATATATATATATATATATATATATATCTTCCTGATAACTGACATACCCCTTTTAAAATTGTCATTGCTTGTTTTAGGCATTTTTAATGGAGCATTTTCCAAAAGGTATCATAAATGTGTTATGTACATCTTAGGCTTCATAAATTGAGTAGCATGGGCACTAGCTGACTCTTCCTTCATCACTCATTATTACTAAAAGTAGCATAGTTCATTGAATGGACTTGAACTTCAATGTCACATAGATCTGGAAATATACCTTCACTTCCCTACTTACTAGCAGTGTGGTCTTAGACAAGTCACTTATCAGTGATTTGGGAAGCCAGCTTGTACTGTTCACCAGTACCTATTGTTAAGCTTTCAGTAATTTTGTGGCCTGATTCTATTTTTAAAAAATGATTTTATTTATTTATCTATTTATTTATTTAAAGCATGCATTGTTGGGGGGAGGGGCAGAGGGTGAGGGAGACAGAGAATCTCAAGCAGACTCTGCACTAAGTGAGGAACTGACCCGGGTTCAATGTTATGACCCTGACCTGAGCCAAAATCAAGAGTTGGACTCTTAACCTACTGAATCACCCAGTGCCCCTTGTGAGCTGATTCCTAAACATATCCATTACTAAAAATTAAATGATAGAAACTTATAAGGATATAATTTATATTAAAATGAAAGGTAATTAAGGCTCAAAATCATTACTTCCTCATTATTTTACTAAATTTTATTATTCCCTATGCTCTTATATATAACCAAAAGTCATTGAGGTTATTCTTTTGTCTGTATACTATATAATGTTGTGTTACTGCTCATCTTTTCCCCACTCTGCCTTTAGTACCATCCTATTGGTTGCTTGAAATTGGTCATGGTGGAAGTATTTACACTGGAGAAATTGGCAACTGCTGCAAATCAGTATTTGATTCCTTGTTCTGTTGTTAGGACCTAAGAAAGTGATAGAGAAAATGTTAATAATGCAGGGTGAAATTAAAAGTGTCTCATGTCCATAGTGTCACATTGTGAGTAGGACAAACATTTGAGGAAATATTCTAGTTCAGTGAAGGTGTAGCTCATGTCACTGATGAACAAGTGAAATCCTGGTACATTGTTAAGTTTTTCTTTTATTTTGTCCATTAATTTAAGCAAAAATACTGGTTAACATTCACATGAGAACTGTTAGATTGCAACCATAGTTTGGTTATCAATATAAGGATTTGACAAAAATCGAAAATAGCATTCTCTGAGAATTTACAGTAAAGAATATTGCATATTATTCATATTATTTGGAAATTGTATACTATACAACTGTTATGTCAATAAAATTCCTAATAAACATATGTATACATTTATTTATTTATTTATTTTTATTTGTTTAAGTAAGCTCTATGCCCAATGTGGGGCTTGCACTCATGACATCAAGACTTGTATACTCTACCAACTGAGCCAGCCCAGTGCCCCCATATTTTTAAACATATAGTCAGTTGTCAATATTTTCTAGAACACCATTGCTTAAAATCTCTGAGGTTAAGCTTCTTCATCTATTAAATAAATTATCTGATACTATGAGCTCCATACTTGACTAAAATTCTATTTTAATATTCGTACCTTTTTCATTCTAAGATTGAATATCAGTATTCTTTTTCCCCCATCCTTCTAAATCCCATATACAGACATAAACTGAAAGCCATTGGGATGTATAAAACCTTTTGCCTCTAAATTATGACTCCAGAGTACATGTTCATGATTTCTTTGTATGGATACTTAATATCCTACCCTGATTTCAACTGTCATTTTTGCTTTTGTTGGAGTTCCTCCTTTTACCTGTCTCTCCTGTCTTCCCATGATCCCCTCCTATAATTTATAGCCTATGCTGTCCTCTTGTTGTTCTAAAAACTAGTACCTAATTCAGTTTAAATTGTGTAAAATACGAGTAAGTAGATGCTAAATGAAGACCTAAAAGACCTTCCTGTAATTGTTTTAGTTTACTTTATCTGTGACCTTCTTTCTTATATAAAAATCATTATGAAATATTTTAGGCACATAAAAAGGGCTGTGACTAGTGTAATGAACAGCTCCCCAAATACCCCTAGCCCCTTTTAAGGAATAAAACATAAGAGATGCAGTCAAACTCCTTTCTTGTTCTATTACCCTTTTTTTCTCCCTGAAGGTAACCACTAGCCTGAATGGATCATTTCCAGGCATGTTGTATTTTTATCTCATATGTACACATTCAGAATATACATGGATTATTTTACATATTTAAAATATACAAAACATGATAAACATATTGTATGTATTCTTTAAAAATTGGTAGACTTTATATTTTAGAATAATTTTAGGTTTACAGAAAAATTGAGCAGAACCTATTAAGAGTTTCCAAATACCCAATTCCCCAGTTTCCACTACAAGTAACAGCTTGCATTACTGTGAGACGATTATTACAATTGATGAATGAATATCAATATAAAACTAGTAAATGAAGTTCATAGTTTATAAGTTTATAGGTTTTGATAATATATCTACCATTACAATATCATGTAGAACATTTTTACTGCCCTAAAAATCTAAATTCCACCCCTTTGTCCCTGGATACATTCTTTTTAATCTCAAGTGGTTTTTGTTTTGTTTTTGTTTTTTGTTTTTTTTTGTTTGTTTGTTTGTTTTTTTGATTGTATAGCTTTATTGTTTGGAGGCTAAGTCCATTTGGAGGCTTGTAACAAAATACCCATAAACTGGATGGCTTATAAACAACAAATATTTATTTCTCACAGTTCTGAAGGCTGCAAGTCTGAGATGAGAGCACTGGCATGGCTGGTTGAGGGCCCTCTTGGGTATCACAAACGTCTGCATTTTCACATGGCCCAAGGGACTGGGGAACTCTGGGGGGGGGTCTTTTATAAGGGCAGTAACTCATTCCTGGGGGCTCCACCCTCATGACTTAACACCTGCCAAAGACCCCACTTCCTCATACCATGACATTGGCATTAAGATTTCAACATAAATTTGGGGGGACACTGTAACAGAGGGTTACTGATGCTCTGATTCATTCCCTTTAACTGTTGATTTGTGTTTCGTCTGTATGCTTCTACCTCAAATTATCTGTTCTACTATTGGTAGAATGTGAGTTGTTTCCAAGAGTTTATTATTATAGATGTTTCTGTCTCGATGATCTCCTATAATCTCTTTGTGAAACTACATGAGCATTTCTCCAGGGTGTGTACCTAGAAGTGAAATGAGGAAGTCACGAGATTTTTGAAATTACTCCTTTTACCATAAAATGGATTCTAACTACGTTTTAAACAAGATCTCTATGTGTACAGATATTCCAACTGTAATGTAACTTTTACTCTCTGTTCTTCTAATGTGCAACACTCTCTCTTTCTTGTGGGCGTATTTGGATCCTAGCTTCTCTTTTTTTTCTATTTTATCCCCACTCCCACCTCCCAGCAATTCACCTTGATGACCCAATTTTTCCTTGAAGTGTTTGTCTAAAAGTCATTTCTCTAAGAGACCTACAACTCTAGCCCACATCTGGATAAATGCCCCTTCTTGGTTTTCTGACAAGTCTTTTACCTTGGCTGTTTTACGGTTAACCATACCTAAGTTCTCCAAAGACAGGAAGCACAGCAGAGTGCGCCCTGTTAACTCCTGTGCTCAGCATAGATCCTGACATGTAACATTTGTGGAATTAATGGAGGCATGAATGAATGAAGGTAGGATACTAATATGTTAACAGTAGCAGAGACTAGTACCCTCCCCACAATAATTGACTGGACCATTGCAGGCTCTGTTGTCAGTTAGCAGGTGAATAGAGTTCAAGTGTAGAGGGCCAAAGACAAGGTCCTGAGACTCCATCAGGCACAATAAGGACAAGGCTTGTCAGTCATGGCCAGGAGGAGGTATCTGCAACTCAGACATTCATAAGCTGGGGCCTGCCTCTGTTTACCAGCTGGGAAATCTTCAGAAAATGAACCATGAAAGCCTGCTATGCGGCAGCACTATGAAATAATTTTTCATTTGCCACCAGTCAGCTTCAGGGATCAAGGACAGCTAAACACATAATTCACTCATGCATGCTATTTTAAAGGCATATTTTAAAGTTATAAATATGGTACATTGAGTTAATGAGGTATGTTCTTTTGGCGACAAATATTTACATTCCACATATGCCTCTTGATGTCAAGAGTGTAACTGTTTCATTTTCTTCTTTTTTCTCAGGAGGCTGGGATGCAGATGGAAAAGGCCCTAGTGTCTGGGACACATTCACCCATCAGGGAGGAGAGAGAGTTTTCAAGAACCAGACTGGCGATGTAGCTTGTGGCAGCTACACTCTGTGGGAGGAAGATTTGAAATGTATCAAACAGCTTGGATTGACTCATTACCGCTTCTCTCTTTCCTGGTCACGTCTGTTACCTGATGGGACGACAGGTTTCATCAACCAGAAAGGCAAGTGTTTCTTAAAAATAGAAGGTTGCAGCTTTAATTCAAGGTTACTGCTGCAGTCTGGCATAATTAATCCAGTATGCTATTCTGCAGTGGAGCTTCGAAATTGCAAGTTTTTAGGGTGATTATAGGATAAATTTTTTGAAATGGGTTTGCATTAGCTTTCTTAATAATATTCTGTTTTCCCTGAATTGGAGATATGTGTTGGAAGGGGACAATAGATGGGCAGGAAAGGGGTGGGAATAGAGTTTTACTTATGGAAGATATTATTGAGTGTTAGCCTGAAGCTGAGTTTCCAAAAGTTATGTATTAAACTATTTTCAGTTGTGTTATGCTGTGAAAAGTGATGAAAAGTCCTATAGAACTTGAGAAGATTTTGAGCATTTCAATTGGAGCTGAATTAGTAGAGCGAATTAACTAGGGCAGAGATTAGCACCAAGGCATCTGGAATCTGCTTAATTTGGGATGAAAGGCCAGCTGTATCACTTACTATCTGGAGAAGCATCTCTTGGGCATTTTTTCATGCCTCAGTTTCTCCACAAGTAGAAAGGAATATACTCAAATAGTTCCTAGTTCGAGAGCTATTGGAAAATTAAATGAAATAATCTTTGCAAAGTGCTTTACGCAGTAGCTGGTATATCATAAAGGCATTCAAAAAGTGTTAGCTATTATTCGTATTAAGTTTTGTAATTAAAAAGACTACTGTCCTATTTGAATGTCTGTTATTTATGAGGCATTTTACATACATTTTCTCTAATCCCCACAATCAGTGAGGGAGGTGTAATTAGTCACATTTTACAGTGGTGCATGTCCAAATCTAGATATTTTGTAAATGGTGGATCTAGAATGTAAACCTAGGGTCTGGCTAGTTCCTTCTGGCAAACTATGACCCAAGGGCCAAATCTGACTGTTATTTTTGTAAATAAAGTTTTATTGCAGCGCAATCATACCCATTCATTACATTTAGTCTGTGGTTGCCTTTCCACTACCATGGCAGAATTGAGTTGTTGGGGCAGAGACCAGAGAACCTGCAGAGCCTAAAATACTCACTACCTGGTACTTTGTGAGAGAAGTTCTATGACCCCTGTACTACAACATAAAGGTTTCTTAATAAAGAACCTCTATAGCTACTTTGTCCTGGAAAATATTTCATATTCCTCCTACGGTTGGGACTTGGTAAGGCAAACGATGTGACTAAGATGCAAAATTTAAGGAGACATTGACTCTCAGGGTCTTGGAAATGCAAGATGGACACTTGCAGAATCCTGAGGGAGGGTACCTGCTTGCTCACCCTACTTTCAGGGGCGGTGACTTCACTAATCCTCAGGGATTCCATTTGAGTAAATTATCTGATTTCCTACATAGTAAGAACAACCAGTGATAACAACTGCTTAGGTGAGCTTGTGTCCTTGCAATGCTCATTTTCTGTGAGATGGGGTAAGCTGGACAGTGTGGAATGCAGTTGCAACTTATGTGTCCCCCAGATGGGGACAACACAAGATTAGCAGCTCCATTGCTTGTTTCTAAAGCATTAGCTCCCCTGACTAACTGCTGCTGGTTGAATGTCTATTTTCTTGATATATTACTGGCCAGTTTTTTTTTTTCCTGACTTTGAACAGAAGTTCATTTGTTGTTTAGTGTAAAAGTGAATTAATAATTTCCCACCTTCCTCATCCATAATCTATACCTTCTCTTTTCTCCAGTGCCATCACACCTCCAAGGACTAAAAACTAAGAGTAATCTTTGAATTTCCTCTTTTCTTTGTTTCCTACATCTAATTGGTTGCTAACTATGATCCGTTCCACTTAGGTCTCTTTCACTTCTCCCTCAGGCCATTTTCTCTGCCTCTGCCCTGCTTTAGAGTTTTATCATTCTCATCAAGGACTTTTTGATATACCCTTGCTGGGTCTACCTATTTTCACTCATTCTGTGTCTATTAATTCCTTGTACAAAATGCCACCCCAGCAATTTGTCTAAAGCTTTGTCTCAGTTCTGTTGGCTTGCATCATCTCCTGTTAAAAACAAAGCAAGATTAAAAAAAAAATTTTTTTTATGATCTATTTATTTGAAAAGGGAGGGACGAGGGAGAGGGAGAGAGAAAAAAATATCCCAAGCAGACTCCCTGCTGAGCATAGAGCCTGAAGTGGGGCTTGATTTCACGACCCCAAGATCATGACCTGAGCCAAAACCAAGAGTTGGTCACTCAACTGACTGAGCCACCCAAGCACCCCTATAAAAATTTTATTTAGTCATCCCAAGACTCAATATATAGTGTACACTCCTTCATATATCATTCCAGGTTTTATTTGATTTAGTCTTAATTCATCTCTGAAGCATTACAGGATGAAATTCCCCCATGCAATTCCTCCATTTAATTCCCTAAACACATAACCCACTACATACTAAACATACTATGCAATTTCCCACCTCTGTAAGGCTTTTCTTAAGCTCTTTCTTCTGCCTGGAATGGCCTTTCCTTAGCTGTATTCACTGAATAGCTACTGTCCTGATTCCAGGAGTGTGGAGTTTTCACTGAGTTTCCATTTGGATGGTACACAATGAAAAAGTTTGAAAAAACAACACAAAACAACCACCCCCTTGCCAACTTGTAATATAGGTTCATAACTTCTTATCTGAAATTCTAAAGTCCAAAAAGCTTTGAATACTGAATCCGTTTTAGCAAGTTTAGGTCTAAAACTAATTTGGCAACAAAAGCTAACCTCAATTGATGGGACAGGTTTTTTTTTTTAATTGAAGAACAATTGACATACAATATTGTATTAATTTCAGGTATAGAACATAGTGATTTGCTTTTTATATTTATTACTTAATGACCACCACAATAAGTCTGGTTACCATACTAATTAGGTACTATAATCATACAAAGTTGTTACTATATTATCAATACTGTTCCCTAAACTGCACATCACATCCCCATGACTTATTTATTTTATAACTGGAAGACTGTACCTCTTAATTCCCTCCACCTGTTTTGCTCATCCTCTCTCCTCCATTCTCTCTAGCAACCAACAGTTTGTTCTCTGTATCTACAAGACAGTTTCCATTTAGTTTTGTTTGTTTGTTTTTTAGATTCCACTTGTAAGTGAAGTCATATGGAAATTGTCTTTGACTTATTTCATTTAGCATTAATATGCTCTAGGTCCACCCATGATGTTGCAAATGGCAAGATTTGATTCCTTCTTGTGGCTGAGTAATATTCCGTCACACAGACACACATGTGCGTGCACACACACACACACACACCATATCTTCTTTATCCCTTCATCCATCAATAGATATTTAGGTTGCTTTCATATCTTGACTGTTGTTAATAATGTAGCAATGAACTCAGTGGTTTATATATCTTTTCAAATTAGTGTTTTTGGGGCGCCTGGGTGGCTCAGTGGGTTAAGCCGCTGCCTTCGGCTCAGGTCATGATCTCAGGGTCCTGGGATCGAGCCCCGCATCGGGCTCTCTGCTCAGCAGGGAGCTTGCTTCCTCCTCTCTCTCTGCCTGCCTCTCTGCCTGCTTGTGATCTCTCTCTGTCAAATAAATAAATAAAATCTTTAAAAAAAAAAAATTAGTGTTTTTGTTTTCATCAGGTAAATACCTAGAAGTGGAATTGTTGGATTATACAGTAGTTCTATTTTTATTTTTTTGAGGAATATCCATAATGTTTTCCTTAGTGGCTACACCAGTTTGTATTCCCACTAACATTGTGTGAGGGTTCCCATCCTCACTAACACTTGTTATTTCTTGATAATAGCCATTCTGACAGGTATGAGGTGATATCTCATTGTGGTTTTGATTTGCATCTCCCTGATGGTTAGTGACATTGAGCATTTTTTTCATGTGCTTGTTGGCAATCTGTATGTCTTTTTTGGAAAAGTGTCCATTCAGGTTCCTTGACTATTTTTTAATCAGGCTGTGTTTTGATATTGAACTTTATCAGCCCTTTAGATTGTGTTTTGATATTAAGCCTTATGGGTTCTTTATATATTTTGGATGTTAAGCCCTTGTGAAAATTTTTTTATAATCTCAGGTGATTTCACTGGTAAAGAATATTTACATATTTTACTGCAGAAATATTAAGGGAGGCTGACCCAGACCCACTGGGAGTGTTAACTGAATATATGGTATTTGCTTTGTATTTCCTCTCTAAAAATTCAAAAATTCTGAACACATCTGCCCCCAAGATTTTCAGACAGGGAATTACTATACCACTATGTCAATATATCAAGCTATTTAAAATGAACCTGAGATCACTATAGCACACTGTAGATCAGCAACCTAGGAGCAGAGCAGCAGAAAAGCTGAAGGGTGGTGGTGGGGAGATACTGGGGCCACATGAACAATGTGGTAAGATCACTCATGCACATGTGGGGATCATGTGCCCCAGCACTGAGCTTCTCATGTTTGGTCCCAGCTTTTGTAAAGTCATAGCTGATTAATATTACAGACTTTTCCATGAACGAGAGGGCACTGGAGGTGCTTCCGGGAGGCAGAATTTCAATAAGCAGTTGCTCACTCTTGTGCAGTGATCTGTTGAAGCAACTGGAACTGTTTTAACTCGGAAAGGCCATCATTTGTTTTTTCTGTCTAAACATTTTCTCAAAGAGCATGTGAAGAATTGGAAAACACTTGTCACAATCCTTTACAAGGTACCCCCATTTTTTTTGTGTGTGTGTTCAACACTCTATTTTAAAAGCTTGATTAGAGGTTGTTTGGAAACTTGTAAAATCCTGTGTTCCCAAACTGGAAGAATACTTTACGAAGTGGAATTGTTACACAGCCTTTCTCTTTCAAATGTCAAGTTTTCAAGGTTTAACAAGAAGAGATTGAGCTGGCAACTGAAATCACATTTTTCTGTAGTTCTCAACTGTTCAACTGAATTTTCCTATCTGCCACAAATGCAAGTTTCAGATGATTAATAGGGAACCCAAGTATTGGAAATAAAAAAAAAAGGAAAGTTTATGCAGAATTTCTTATTCACTTTAGTATTTAAAA